TCCTCCCCCTAACTTTTCCCAGATGCATCCCACCTCCCTACCCATTTTTTGTTTTTTTGAAAAAATTTGTCTTTTAGCCGGGCGTGGTGGCGTATGCCTTTAATCCCAGCAGAGGCAGGCGGATCTCTGTGAGTTCAAGATCAGCCTGGTCTCCATTAGCGAATCCAGGCCAGCTGCGGCTACAGGGAAACCTTGTCTCAAAAAGACCAAAAAATTTGTGTTCACTGAATTTTTTGGTTTTGGTTGTTTTGTTTCGGTCTTTTTTTTTTTTTGAGACAAAGTTTCCTCATAGCCCCAACTGGCCTAGAATTGGCTATGTAGACCAGGTTGGTCTCAGTCTCACAGAGATCTGCCTGCCTCTATCTCCAGAGCTCTGGGATTAAAGGTGTACACCACCACTCCCAGCTCCACTGAATTTTTAGAATTAACATGCCAAGTACTGGATTTCATTGTGACATTTGCATATAGATCATATTTCATTCTTAGTCACCCTCCATCGTCCTCCCCTGCTCCCCTCTCTTCCTCTTGCTGGTTTCTTTCCTTCCCCTAGTCTCCTTTTGTCTTCATGTCATATATAGTTCATCATTTCTCTTGCTTCCTCTTTCCTCTTTTAAGTTGTAAAAATGGAAGTTGTCTTCATAGTTGACATATGCATAAATATACGCACACGCATGCATACACACACACATGTACATAACGATTTAAATCTAGATTTTGCATATAAAAAAGATGTGATATTTGTCTGATTCTGACTTACTTTACTTACCATAATGATCTCCAGTTCCATCTCTTTTCCTGTAAATATCATAATTTCATTCTTTACTGCTGAATAAACTTCTGTTGTGTAGATATACCGGCTTTTCTTTATCTGTTCATATGATAATGGACTTGTGGACAGGTTCCATATCTTGGCTCTTGTGAAAAGTGAAACAACTTGGATGTGCAAATATTTCTTTGGTATGCTGACTTACAATCCTGTTGGTATATTATCAGGAATGGTATAACTGGATCATGTGTTGGTTCTGTTTTTAGGAGGTTGTTTTTTGGGTTTGGTTTTTTGTGTGTGTGTGTGTGTCTTATTTTGTTTTGTTTGTACCAAAACCTGAGAATGTTTAGATTTTTTTTTGTGATTCAATGGTCTTGGGGCTAGAGAGATGGCTCAGTGGTTATGAGCACTGGCTGCTCTTACAGAAGACCTGGGTTCAGTTCCCAGCACCCATATGGTAACTAACAACTGTTCATAACTCTAGTTCCAGGGCATCTGATGCCTCTTCTGACCTCTGTGGGCATTGCAGGACACGGGTGCACTTTTATACATACAGGCATAACACTCATACACATAAAATTAAAATAATTTTAAAAAATAATAGAAAAGAAACTCCATACTGTATTCCATAGTGGCTACATCAGTGTACATTCCTAAAAGTAGTGTGTAAGGGTTTCTCTTTCCCTTCAGCCGCATCAGCATTTGTCCTTTGCTTTCTGGATAATAGCCATGCCTTGGGGTAAGATGGAATCTAAATTTTCTTTCAATCTGCATTTCCCATCGTTAAGGAGCCATTTTTTAAAAAAATGGAATACCACTTTTACTCAAGAATTAGTCACAGGTAAACTACACTTATTCTCATTTGGTTATTTGACAGATATTTTCTCAAAAATGAGCAAAGTATGGTTGCTACTTCAGAGAAAACAACCAATGTTATTTGTTGTCACTGATAAGCTCAATCTTTCAAAAGGAAGTTAAAACTTTTATCTTCCACCTAATACTAAGTAAATTTTCTTTTCAGATTAAAAATGATACTAATAAAAATTTTGATATTTTATAATGAAGTATGTCAGCATTTTAAAAATTTGCATTATGCAGACTTACTTTTCCAATTGACCAATACATTATGTTGGAAAAAAAAACAACAAGCCACATATAAAGAGATTTGCAGAGCTATGAATATGATTCTTGTTAACTTAAAAAATATCCATAATTACTTTCTTAAAAATATGTAACAAGCCAGGTGTGGTGGCACATGCCTTTAATCCCAGCACTTGGGAGGCAGAGGCCTCTCTGTGAGTTGAAGGCCAGTCTGGTCTACATAGTGAGTTCCAGGACAGCTGGGGCTACAGGGAGACCCTGTCTCAAAAAGATAAAAAAAAATAGTAACAAGATTTTTGCATACTCATGAGAGAATGAGCTTGGAAATGAACAGGTAATATCTTCATATTATAAAATTAATATTGATAGTTCCCTAAAAGGGTCTTGGGGTGCCTAAGAGCTCATGAGCCACATTAGAATATGTAAATTAACATGGAGAAATATCAAAGGCAGTATCTGGACTGTAAGTGTAGCTAAGTGGTAGAGTGCTTGCCTAGAATGTGTGAGTCCTTGGTTTTGATTCCCAACAACACACATGCACATGAACACACATACATATACAAATGCAGTATCTTGTAAATAAGGGTAGGAGGAGCAGGACTGAAAATATTCATATATGATCTTACTTATAAGATGTCTTTTAAAAGAGTGTTATATATGCATGTATGTAAGTGCATTCACGTTGTACAGTGCCCACAGAGGCCAGAATAGGGCACCAGATTCCCTGGAACTGGAATTAGGGATGGTTGTGAGTGCTGGGAACTTATCCTGGGTCCTCCGCGAGAGCACCAGGGCTCTTAACTCCTGAGCCATTTCTCCAGCTCCCTCTTATAAAATGTCTTAAAATATACAAACCGAATGGTGTATTTTTTCCAAATAAGTGCATATTTTTGTAGAAGAATTTTAAAAGCATGTACAAGAAGGATGTACATACATACATACATACACACACACACACACATATATATATATATATATAAAAGTCCACGATCATGATTAGCTCTGAGATGGGGTGATATAATTGTGGTCCACTGGTTTTCTCTACAGTGTTTAATTTCTGTAAAAATAATAAATTTGAAGCATTTCATTAGAAATTAAAAGTTAAAGAGAAAATATGATTGAATTTTTTTAAACTTTAAAATTTTATTTTATTATTGTGTATGTGTGTATATGACATGTGTTGCGGACACATGCGTATCATGGCATGCATGTGGAGATCAAAAGATCACTTTCAGGAGTCTTCTCCTTCCACTGTGGGATTTGGGGATCAAGCTCAGATTCTCCAGCTTTCAAGTCAAGCTTTTCTGCCCACTGAGTTACCTCGCTGGCTCAGAATTTTAAGAATTGTTGATAAAGAGCTTAGTAAATATAGATCTTTATCATGTATGTAGCTGCATTTTGGGGAGTCCAGAGTTCAGACCATTATCCTATGAACTGTTTGTTTGGTTTTGTTTTAATATTTTTGAGATAGCAGCTCCCTGTAGCCCCAGCTGGCCTGGAACTCACTATGTAGACCAGGCTGACCTCAAACGGGCAGAGATCCACCTGCCTCTGCCACCACGCCCAGCTATACTATGAACTTTTAAGATAAAAGAAAAACACTCTATAACATCATTAAAATAATGAAAGTAGCAAATTGTGTCGTTATGCTTACCTCATTGATAGGTTTAAATAAATATGTCTAAAAAGGACTGTTTCTGACCAATTTTAACAATCATTAGCAGTGAAATGTATTATCTTTTACTAAAGATAAATCTTTTATCTTTTACTAAACTAAACTAGCAGTGGACACTGTAGAGAGTAGTAAGTTCAGTGTAGTCCTCAGTGTTCCTGCTAGATCATAAGTGTGGATACTCTGGTTTTGAAAGCAGTTGTGTCTTTTGTTTGTAGGTTTGTTTTTGTTTTTGACAGTCTTTTATAGCCTAGGCTGGCCTAGAATTTGCTATGTAATCAAGATCTGAAATTCACAATCTTCCTTCCTCAGCCTCCCAATCCTGGGATTGCAGATGTGAACAAGTATATTCAGGTTGAAAGCAGCTTTAAAAGCTGTCTTGAGGGCCATAGAGTGATTCATTATCATTGACTTGCCTTTCCTACTTTTAGAAGTCTTTTGTAAAGAGCTAATCCATAGTACAGAACAGCATTATTTTAGATAGTGAAAAATTATAAGGATCTAAGAATTTCGTAGTTACATTAGTGTACTTGATGTGTCACTATTGAGCAGGTAAATGTAAAAGATACAAGTAACATGTTGGAAAATCTGAAAGGTATATTGAGAAAGGACTATGAATTTGTCAGTATGTTGTAACTATAGTGTCCTGGTTTGTCTCTTCATTGCTGTGACAAAATACTCTGACCACTACCAACTTGGGGAGGAAAGGGTTTATTTATCTTATCTCCCGGGTCACAGTTCATCAGGGAGCAGGGAGCCAAGATAGGAACTGAGGGCAGGAACCAGGAGGCAGGAGCTAGAGCACAGGCCATGGAGGAGCGCTGCAAAATACTGGCTTGCTCCCCTGGCCCCGCCCCCCTCAGCCTGGGATACAACACAGGCCCACCTGCCCGGGGGTGGTACCACCCACAGTGGGCTGGGCCCTCCCACATCACTCATCAAGAAGATGCCCCTCAGACATGGCCATAGGCCAGGCCAATAGAGGTAATTCCCCAATTGAGGCTCCCTCAACCCAGGTGTGTCAAGTTGACACTAAAGCTATCCAGCACATACAGGTATTTAAATTAAGCACCCCCCAAAAAAATTAAGTACCATCTTAATTATCTTAGAGTTATGGGGTTATGTGTAACATTTTTCCTCTCATTATTTTGAAATTTTTGATATTATTAAATTTATCTTGAAGTACTATATATTGTGATATGTGATAAAGTTTTCTTTTTAATACATTACTTTGAACTTAACCTCCTTCAAATCTCTGTCCTTTCTTTTAACTTTTTAAATGTTAGGCAGAAATAAAACGTCTTCAGGAAGCCAATAAAGCTGCTCGGAAGGAAAGACAACTCATTCTTAAGCAGCAAGAAGAGATAGAAAGGATCCGGCAGACCACCATAAAACTGCAGGAAAAGTTGAAATCTGCAGGGGAGAATAAATTGGTAAATTAAGTGAGATTTTTATTAGTTTGTTTTTTGTCCCAGAAATGTGTGTGTGTGTGTGTGTGTGTGTGTGTGTGTGTGTATCCTGTTGCTTGCATTAATATCTTAGCTCATTTCATATTCTGATAGATAGGTATGTTCATTCAGTGTGGGAAAAATTCCTGATCAGCCTAGGCTACAAAATAAGACTGTCTCAAAACCAAAACAAACCAACAGACAAGTACATCTGCTTTCAAAACCATTCATTCATTACTGTCTAGGATAAAGTCCTGTGTGTCCACCTTTGTGTACAGTCAGCCGCTTCTCATGGAATGTACATGTTTTGAAGGAGCACATGATTCTTTCATTAGCTTTAATTTTTTCTTCTTACAAACTAAATTGGACCAAAAACCTTTGATTTGCTAATCAATCTGAATCGATGCCTCAAAATTAAGAGGAGTCTTTTGCTCTTTATATGGTACTTATTTCAGCTCTCTAGATTTATTTTATGATGTAAGACTCAAAGGCGATACTTAGGCAAGAAGAAAATTTGGATCTATTCTAATGTACTCTAAAGTGTTGGTATGGTGTTAGAAAATCCAGGGTTTTGTAACGAACTTTTAAATCCCTGATATGTTTTGTTTTGATTTTTGAAACAATCTCAGGTTAACAGGAACATTTCAAGCACATTAAAATTTTATTTGATTGAATCCCTTGACAATAAATTGCCAACAAATTAATATTTCTGTATTGCTACTATAGGCCATTTAAATTTTCCACTTGTTTAAATGATGTTCTTTATAGCAAAAATAGCTTCAGAATCACTTACAGAATTTAGGTTTTTCTATCTCTTTTTCCTTCTTCCCTCTTGAATAATTCCTTGACCTTGGCATATGAGAAGACTGCATGCCAGTCATTTTATAGAACATTCCCTAATAGGCTTTGTCTGGTGTTCCCTTGACATTAGATTTGGGTTGTGCATTGGTGGTAGGAATATCACAGAAGTGATGCTGTATTCTTGTTGCATTCAACAGGTGGCACCTGATTTTGATTGATCCCATTATTGATGATTCTGTCTTGATGACTTGATTATTATGGTGTCTTTCCAACTTCATTGCAAAGTTGTCTTTCCCTTTATTATTAATAAATGGTTTTCATGGAAACTTTTTGAGACTATATAACTGCCCTGCCTACCAGATTTAAATTTTGCATGTATCAGTACTTTGCCTCAGGAAATCCTGCTTTACTGTCATTTTTTTTACTTGATGCTGACTGTGCCCCAAATTGGACTATTAAGAGTTCATTCATAGAGATTTCTGTGACCTTCAGATGTGCTTTGCATGTCCCATCGGTTTTAAGCACAATTCTTTCTGGAACAAAAAGATGTTTCAGAGTCATTTTGAACTTATGTCCTATCTTTAAAATCAGGTGGTATTCTGAGAAAAGTTATTTAGAAATCAAAATCTAGTGCTAGAGGTACTTATTGCAATTTAGGCTTTACTGATCCTAAGCACATGTACAGAGAGTATATGTTTATATAGATATAGATAACCATATACATTTTGTACATATATATGTACATTTTTTACTCATATATGCATAATTCTAGATTTCATATTGGTTCTGATTCAAATCCAGTTCATTCTAGTTTTATCTTTTGCAACTCCCTTCTCTGACAGATACCTGATAAAAAAATGAAACTTTTAAGTGCTTAATGTTTTCCTTAATATAATTAGTGCTTTGATTATGTAACTCATCTGTTAACAACCATTGCCACACTTCTGAATGAAGATCCCCTTTGATTGGGCTCTGACTCTGGAAAATGGGCTATCCTCATCCTTTTGCCCCTTCCCTATACCTTCCTTCCTGTTTGGGGCACCTGTGTCAGAAAGTTCTCTGTGGAAAGGCCATCCTCATTGCTCACTGTGTTCCTGAGGTGGTATGCTGACCACTTACTTCCATGTGGACTTTGTTATTGCCTGGTTTAGACTCTGACTCCCTAGGTTCCCCTCCTGCATCTGCTCTTGTCCTGCTCAGATTCTGACACCCACTCTTGCCCCTTGTCTTCCCTACCTTCACACAGATTCATGCCTGCAGTGTCTGCAGCAATTTGCTCTGTCTAACCACTTTAGGACTCAGGGGAGTGGAAAGAGAAGAAGCATGCACCACCATGCCCAGCTTTTATTTTTCAGGAAATTTTAACAGTCAGGATTGTTACCCATCTTCCTGAAAAGTAATGAGTATGAATGCTAGTTGTAGGAAAGATGTACTAAGCAACTAAAATTTCACTTTTTTTCTTTTTCTTTTTTTTATTATTTTTATTTTATGTGTGAGTGTATTGCCTGCATGTGTGTAAGTGCACCCGTATCGTGTGATGCCTGCAGTGGTCAGAAGGCATCAGATCCCCTGGAACTGGAGCTACAGATGGTTGTTAACCACCATGTGGGTGCTGGGAATCGAACCCTGGTCTTCTGCAAGAGCAGTCATTGCTTTTAACTGCTGAGCCATCTCTCCAGCCCCTGTTTGTTTTTAAAGACAGAATCTTGCTATGTAGCCTTAGTTAGCTTTAACTCGTTCCTTGACATAGGCTAACCTTGAAAGAATAGCAGTCCCCATGCTTCAGCCTTCTGAATGTTGCAGTTATCAGCATGTGCCACCATTCCTGGCTTCAAGCTTTACTTCTTTTTGTTTGTTGTTTGTTTGATTTTTTTTTTTTTTTTTTTTTTTTTTTTTTTTTTTTTTTTATACCACCTTAAAATAGGTCTTTTTGAGACATGGTCTTCATGAGCCCCAACTGGCCTGGAACTCACTGGCCTTGATCCTACAGAAATCCACCTGCCTCTGCCTCTTAAGATTAAAAGCATGTGCCACCACAACTGGCAAGTTTTATTTTGTGTTCATCAGAGGCTAGTAGTTCCTTAATGTTTCCCCTGTAAACGTCTTAAAATCTGGGAACCTATTTTTGCATTGAGGAATAAAGAAAAAAAAATTTCTTAAAGTGAGTTTACATCTTCTGTATATTCTTTGTATATGCAAATATGTTTTATATAGTTGTAGTATCTGTTGTGTGTGTGTGTGTGTGTGTGTGTGTGTGTGTGTGTGTGTGTGTGTGTGTTTTTAAGCAGTGCTGGAAATTAAACCCAGAATCTCATACTGAGCTACATCTTTGCCCCTTATATTCTTTTTAAGTACTTCAACTTTTTTTGTTGTTTGTTTTTCAGTCTTTTTGAGACAGTCTCCCTGTGCCCCAAATGACCTGGAACTCAGTATGTAGACCAGGCTGGTCTTGAACTCACAGAGCTCTTCCTGCCTTTGCCTCCTGAGTGCTGGGATTAAAGGCGCATGCCATTATGCCTGGCAAGTACTTCAACTTTTAAAAGTCATCAAGTGAGCTGGAGAAATGGCTCAGCGGTTAAGAACACTGGCTGTTCTTACAGAAGACCTGGGTTCGAATCCCAGCACCCATATGGCAGCTAACAACTGTCTATAACTCCAGTTACAGGGGATCCGACAGGCTTGTCTGTCCTCCGCGGGCATTGCACGACACAGGTGTACTTACTTACATGCAGGCATAACACTCATATATACAAAATAAAAATAATAAATAAAATACTAAAAGTCAGCAAGGATATTTAGATTTAGATACTTGATTAATATTGACAATTTTTAAATTTATTTTTTACATTCTTTGGATTTCCTTATTTTTCAAACCATTATAATAATTTAATATCTCTGTTCCTTTTTCTTTTCCACCTCTCTTTCTTCTGTGGTAAAAATGTATATAACATAAAATTTACTCCTTTTTTTGAGGCAATGTCTCATTATGTATACCAGGTTGGCCTTGAACTCACTGTGTAGCCCCACGTCAGCCTCAAATACCTAAACCTCCTGCCTCTGCCTCTCGAGTGAGTGCTGGAATTACAGGCAAATTTGCTAGTCTAACCATTTTTAATTGTGTGATAGTTGTTTGCCCTTTAATAAGTAATTAATATCTTAATTTTAGCTATTATTAGAAACATTTTTTAATTATATTTATTATTTTTATTTTATATGTATGCATGTATTGCCTGCATGTAGGTAAGTGCACTCGTGTTGTACAGTGCCCATGGAGGTCAGAGGAGGCTGTTGGATCCCCTGGAACTGGAGTTACGGACAGCTTTGTTAGCTGCCACGTGGGTGCTGAGATTCGAACCCAGGTCGTGTGCAAGAACAGCCAGTGTTCTTAACCGCTGAGCCATCTCTCTAACCCCCATTATTTTCATTTTAAACTTAATTTTAAATTGTGTTTAAGATCTCCTCAAGATCCTTTTAATGTCCAGTGATTCTTTGCTCCTTTTTGTTTTAGGACTCTCATAGTGATGATGATACAAACAATAATAAAGCAGTTAGTCCTGGTCCAACTGGTTTGGAGACCCGAAGCCCTTCCCCCATTTCAATTTCCAGCAGTGAAACCAGCAGCATCATGCAGAAACTGAAGAGCATGAGAAGTCGCATGGATGAAAAGTAATTCATTTTTATGTGTCTCCTATTTAGTCACATTGAGTGCAGTATCAATAAGTAATATTCTTAATGTACTTCATTAGATTAAATTGAGTAAAATATTTTATAGATGCAATAGCATTTAGTAGAATTACTAGATAACCTAACACTCAGTTAACTATAGATCTTATTTATAGAACAATTTTTCTCATTTTAATACTGATTTCTTACTGAAAAACAAATAGTAGTCACATGTGTACTCTATAATGTTTTCTCCTGTTATTTATTTAAAGAAAGAACAAGTGTACCAACCTCGGGAACAAACAGTGATATAACCTAATAGCTCATCTTTGACACAATGGCATCTCAGACTTTATCAACTAAGTACAATTTTAGTGTTGTGAGCAGATACAAATTTTTCAGCTGAAAGCAAGAGGTTGAGATTCTCTTTTTTTGTTTTTTTTGAGACAGGGTCTCATCCTATAATCCAGACTCACCTAGAACTCAGTTGTAGCCCAGGTTGGCCTCAAAATTGTGGCAGTCCTCCTATCTCAGCCTCCAAAGTGCTAAGATTACAGATGTGAGCCACCATGCTGGTGCTTTGTTATTTTTACATTCTTCTAAAATGTGTGTGTGTTATATATATGTGTGTATGCATTTGTATGTGTGCTGTTGACCTGTGCTTGTGGATGTGGTTGACATCGGCTATGTTCTTTTATTGCTCTCCACCTTATTTTTTGAAACAGGCTCTCTCATTGATCCCTGAGCCCTATTTCAGTTGGCCAGCAAGCCCCCAGGATCCACCTGTTTCCACATCCTGAGCTCTGGGGGATAACAGATGCAAAGCTACAGTCCCTGGCTTTTATGTAGTGCTAGGGATCCAAACTCAGGTCCCCATGCTTGTGCAACAAATGCTTTACTGAGCCATCTCCCTAGCCCCTAAAACATTAAAAAAAAAATATTTGTGTGCGTACACAGTGAGTACAGGGCACACATGTCCCATGATCCACAAACTTTAGGTGTTAAAGGACAACTTTAGGTGTTGGTCCTCACCTTCCACCTAGTTTGAGTCAAGATCTCTTGTTTACCACTCCTAGGTGGCCCAGGAGGTTCTGTGGCTGCTTCTTTCTCTGTCTCTCATCTCACCATAAATACCCTGAGATTACAGACACATGAACTATGAAATCCAGCTTTTATATGGATTCTGGGGATTTGAACCCAAGTCCTAATGCATATATGACAAGCTCTTTATCCACTAAGCTATCTCTCCAGCCCTCCCCTTAAAACATTTTTTTAAAGATTTGTTTTTTGGGTGGGGGAGGTGGTACATGTGCCACATACATGTGGAATTCAAAGGACAGCCTGTAGGAGTCAGTTCTCTCCTCCTATCATGTTCCAGGAATCAAACCCAGGTCAGGCTTGGCAGCAAGTGCTTTACCTGCTGAGCCATCTCACAGCCTTTCCTCCTTTCTGTCTCTTTTTCCTCCCCTCCGTTCCCCTCCCCTCCCCTCCTCTCCCTCTCTCCCTCTTGTTTTCTCTTCCGTTTTCTCTTCCCTCCCTCCCTCCCTCCTTCCTTCCTTCCTTCCCTCCCTTTGAAATAGAGTCTGGTCATGCAACTTAGCCTGGCTTATAACTTTCTGTGTAGCACAGGCTGGCCTTGATTGAACTCATGATCCCCCTACCTCTGCCTCCCAAGTTTTGACCATAAAAATATATTTTTGCGGTAGTTGCTCTTTGGAAATTATTTTAATTAGTTATGGTTATAAAGCAACTTATCATGGACTCTGTCTCTGTAATATCTACTCCATATCTAACTTTTTTGAAGCCCACTAAGTATGGGAAGGACAATCTTGTTTCAAGACCACTTTTTTTAAAATTAAAGATAGACTGAAGGGCTGAGGAAATGGCTCTGTAGGTAAGAGCACTTGCTATGCAAGTTTGAGAACCTGAGTTCAAATCCCCAGAATCCACATAAAAGGACACTTACCTGCCCAGGCATGGTGGCGCACGCCTTTAATCCCAGCACTCGGGAGGCAGAGGCAGGCGAATCTCTGAGTTCGAGGCCAGCCTGGTCTCCGTTAGCAAATCCAGGCCAGCTGTGGCTACAGGGAGACTTGTCTCCAAAAAGACCAAAAAAAAAGGTCACTTATCTGTATGTAACCCTAGCACTGTGAGAAATGGAAACAGGAGGCTTACTGGGGTTTGCTCACCACCTAGCTCAAGGTTCAGTGAAAGACCCTGTCTTAAGGAAATGAGAGGCTGAGTGTTATCAAGCCTGACACAGATAGCCTCTCTGGCCTCTGCACATACTGCCCCACCCCAAAGGTAGAGTGAAAACCAAATATTTGCATATATGTATATAGCTCATAATTTCCATGGGATAAATTAAGTAAGGTTTCTTCAAATAAGAATTTCCTGAACTGGGTCTGGTGGCACATGCCTATAATCCCAGCACTTGGGAGCCAGAAGGATTAGAAGTTCAAAACTAGCCTAGGCTATAGGAGACCGTGTCTCAAAAATAAAAGAATTAATTGGAAATTTGGGCTGAGAGTGTATAGCTTAGTGGTAGAATGTTACCTAGCACAAACCCTGAGTTTGATCCCTAGCACTAGGAGAAAAAAAGTTTCTAAAGAATTGTTATTCTTTCTTCCTAGATTAGTTACTTTTCTCATTGCTGTGACAAAATATCTGAGAGAAACAGCTTGAGGGAAGAAAGGTTGTTTTGGCTCATGGTTTTAGAGGTTTTAGTTCATTATCATAAGCAAGGCATGCAGCTGTGTCTGGAGTAACAGGAACATGAGATAACTGTTTCCATAGTGACAGGAAGAAAGCAGAGGTAAACTAAAATCAGGGATGGGTATAACTTTCAAAGGCCACTCTGGTGACCTACTCCTGCCATCTAGGCTCCACCTCCTAAAAGCTCCATAGCCTTCAAAACAGTACTGCAAGCTAAGGGCCAAGCATTCAAAACACAAATATGTAACATTTTACACTCAAACCATACCACTTCATTTCCTGATAAAATGTTCGGTTAACACACAAGCATGCTGTATTGCTCCAGGGATCTCTGATTTCAAAATTAGAATAATGGGCCATATTTTATCATTATCTTAACTTTTTTATATCTGCCTTTAAATGTCTTTGAAAGGTTACTTGGGAGAAAAACAATTTCTGGGTCAATATCTTCATTGATCCTGTCCTCATAAACCAGTATGAGTTTCACTGTCAGTCTAGAAAAAGAGAAATCCTAATAATTTAACAACATCTATAGAATAAACTGTTAATCCTAGTTTGTTTGTGAAGTCAGTCAGTGTCTGTTATGCTAATTTTAGATTTGGTTAACAGTTTAAAGTACCTAATTCAAATTCAAGTTTGGGATTAACTGATTTTCCCCAAATTTTGTTAAGTATTTTCGTAGCCTGCAAAGTATTAACATATTTTTGTATTAGTGCTGTCTTTCCTAAAACAACAGACTTCTGAGAAGTTTGTAAGAAGCATAAGCCCTGAAGCGTTCAGTAGCTTCTTGCTCTGTTGTTTGAATCAGTATAGCTATGTTTGAAGTAGGGGTAGATGGGGTTGGGTAGTAGTGCAAAACAAGTTTGGGTGGTGGCTAATTTTTTGCCATTAGTGATATGCTAAAACATTACTTCTATACACTAATTTTTTGATTTCTGAAAAAAAAGTAAAGTGAAAAAAGCTTTTAAATACTATTTGTGACCAATGCCTTAGAGTTAGGATTTCTGAGGCAACGCAGCTTGACTTTTCTTTTTTTGTTGTTGGTGGATTTTTTTGTTGTTTGTTTTTGTGTTTTTGAGACAGGGTCGTCCTATAGCCTCAGCTGGCCTAGAACTCTGTGTAGACCAGGCTAGCCTCAATCTCAGAGATCCACCTGCCTCTGCCTCTGGAGTGCTGGGATTAAAGGTGTGTGCCACCATGTCTGGCTCATAGCTTGAGTTTTCATCAGTTACTGTAAACTTACTTGACTGCTTCATTACTAAACACTGTCATTTGTATAGATTTGTGAAGGCAGTCAGCCTTCTTTGTTGATATAATATACCTAAGAGTAGTCAGCTTTCCCAATAAAATTAGCGTTTGTGAAGAACTTTTTAAAATTGTATCATACTGCTTACTGTTAACACTCTGAACTCTGATTTTTATGACATTTTTCTGAAGTGATAATACTGTTTTGGGCTACAGTGAAAGAATTCCATCTTTAGTTTATCACTGAAATTACCACAGTAATGCCTATGGTAAAATTTATATTTCCAATATATGACTTTTCTTGACTTTTTTTTTTCAAGTAGGATGTCATGGAACCCAGGCTGATCTTAAATTAAAAGTAGTTCTGTCTCCATCATTCACAAGTAAATAACTGTGCAGCATCTTGAAGAATTATTAACTCTAGTATGAAGTACTTCTCTTTTATCTAAATTTTTTTCATATTTTAAAGGGTACTCTTTAACTTTAGAATATATTTATATTAAATAAGGAAATATGTTTCTGGAAAGATACACCAAGTTTACAATTAAGCCAAACTTTTCTTACACTCTTTCTTAAACATTTTGTTCATTTTCTGTTAGCCATTTCTCTTGTTCTTCATTTCTAAACTAGAGCTTTTGAATATGCTTAATCTTTATGAATGACAAATATCAGTTCTTGTTTTGATAAGAGAAATTATTGTTCTCTATATTGAGCTAGGCAAAAATTTTTTACCTGTATATTTTTAGTTTGTTTACATGTTTTACTTTTTGCACTAGGTCATGCATGCATTTAACAATTTTACACTTAAAAGGGTGCATGATGTTTGAATGTTATGAATGAGTTTTTTAAAAATTTAATGAAGCGCATTTGATTTCTTTGTAATATTTTGGTAATTGACATCAAAATAAATTTATTGTATGTTCATAAAGGATGGCAAGGGAAGTTGCAGTGTCTTTCTGAAATCTGCAGAAATGCTTTTCCTTAGATTTCAGTGCAGAAAATCAAGGCAATCCAGATATAAATAGCTGCTGTGTGTATGTGATTGGGGGAGGGTATATGTAAATAAATGAACAATAAAATGCTGCGAAGAAACAGACATTAAAACAGTCTGTTGTCTAAAAACATGAGTAAACAAAGATGTGTGTACTTTTTAAAAATCAAAATAAATGACTGGATTTATACCTAGATTTTCTCACTACTGTGGTATACTGATATTACCCCTTGCCCTTTCAAGGCAATGATGTTGCCTTGATCTATAAGTTGTTGTGTGCATGTGAACAGGAGCATGCTCTGTCAAAGAGAGTTAACCTTTCCAAACTATTACTGGATATTTTATCTTTTTATAAATGTGCATAATGATTGATTTACTACTAAAAAGAGGAAAAATTAGGGTTTTCTTCTCTTTAAAATTTTTAATGTATGGAATTTTCTTTTACCTTATGATTGAACTGTTCATAATGTATTTTTTGCTGACAACGTTTATTGAGAGTAGCTCACTTACTTTATTCCTCATACATCCTGATATTTTATAGAATGGGTATTGAATTTCAGTGTTACTAAGTGGGCCTTTGTTATTAAAGCAAGGTATCTCCAGTAGATTCTGTTAATAGTTTATGTAGTAGAAGTCAACAAGATATTTTTCCATAAATTGGTTTACTGAGCTAAAACTTTTATTTTCAAGCTAGGTCATGATGGTAAGGTTAAGTAAGAAGTAAGACAAATGTAGTGCTTTTTATTTAATTTTAAGTTTAGCATACATGATAAGATACAGATATAAAGTCAGTTGTTCAAGATTATGTGTTACTGAGTTGCTGATACACTAGAATTATGCCAATTGTTTTACTCAGTGTTAAAGCTTATTTGAAAACTTATTTAGCCTCACACTGTTCTTCTCATTACTTTCATATAAACAAGTAAATTGAACTGAAAAGATGTGGTGGTTAAGCAATATTTGAGAAGATGTGTTTATTTTGAAATCATCGGTAAGATCTTTAAAAGTACATGTGTTCATGTGTGTGTCACACAGTATAAGACTTACTTGACCGAGTTGCTGGTAACTTTATTCAGGAAGCATATTGAAAGTTCTTCACTCAGTTCTGCCTTCCCTTTCTCATTCTTCCTGCCTCTTGATCTCTTGGTTTTAAAATCTCCCTCCTTATTTTGTAGACACTGCTCTCCTGTTCACTACTTCTTCTCTGTCTTTACGTCTCACCACTGGGCCTCTCTCAGTGTCTGTTTTCCCAACCTTCATCCCAAATTCCAGCTGTATATCTACAACCAGTTGGTCAGGTAACTTTGCACCTTTTTCAGTGCACTCTTTGATAGAGCATGCTCTGTTCTTTTTGTTAGTTTTGTTTGCTTTTTTCTTTTTTCCCCTTTTTGTTTGTTTAACAACAGCCCAGAAGCCTCTTGTCAAATGTCATACAGATTTTACCTCTGTGTTTCCACACTAAATTGACATGATGATTTTCAAGAAGTGAAGTGCAGTTCTTCTGCTTTTAATTGTTGGATGTGTGAATGCATTTTTCTTGATTAGCTATCACTACTGAGCTAATATCAGTAATATGAGCAGCCTATCTTGTTTTAGTTGTGACATCTATATGTGAACAGAGTTAATTTGTAACTCTAAACTAATAAAATATTTTTCCCTAAATTAGTAACTTCTCCCAGCCCTTCAGGCCCAAGATATTTAATTTTAGAAATTAGGTTGATTTGAGGCATTTAATGCATCGTTTTATGTTAATAAGTAGTTTATAGGTATAAGGCATCTGGATGGTGCTGTATCCACTACATGAAAACAAAGAAAAATTAATCATTTAACATTGCATTTCTTAGGCAAAATCAAACCCAGAATTTGAAAAGTCAAAATTAAAAAGAGATATAATTTATATCATGTTTTTTGTTTGTTTGCTTATTTGGGTACTTGCAATTTGTTTTATTGTTGGTTTTGGTCTTTGTTGTTTTGGGTTTTGTGTTTTCTGGTCTGAGCTTTGAGAATAAATTTACATCCTCTGTTAGGAGAAAGAATCACCAATAAAAATGAATGTGTAAGTTAAGTGTTAACATTGTCAGTCAAGTTTGTTCAGATATGTGTTAGGGTTTTTTGTCCTTGAATTTACTACTGATTTTCCTTTGCTACCCTGACAAACCATTATAAGGAAACATTAATTCTCTCACTTAAAAAGTAAATTGCTCATGATGCTTCTATTATTTCAAACCTTTTTCAGGGAGAGAGTGGTGTGAATGCTTTGCTTTTGCACAGCTTGTTGGCAAGGCATGAATGATAGAGCTTTCAAAGTGACCTCTTCGTGTAGGTGGGTTCTCTCACTCTTCTTCACCATGTTACTACAGGTTTCTGACAAAGCGAGAACAAAAGCTAATGCAACGGCGGCAGCATGCAGAGGAGCTTCTAGAGTGGAAGCGACGTTTAGATGCAGAAGAAGCAGAAATTTGTCAGATGGAAAAACAAGCTTTGGCTGCCTGGGACAAAGAGTTAAAACCTAAAACTCCTAAGAAAGAACTGGAGAGCCAGAGAACAGAGCAGAAAGGTAATAAATGTTAATTCATACTATAGACTAAAGCCTAGCATATTCATTTCTTTGTTTTGGGTTTTTTTTTTGTTTTTTTTTTTTGTCTTTTTTGAGACAGGGTTGCCCTGGAACTCACTATGTAGACCAGGCTGGCCTCGAACTCACAGAGATCCACCTGCCTCTGCCTCGTGAGTGCTGGGACTAAAGGCATGCGCCACCATGTCCAGCTATTTCATTGTTTTTTAATGGGAATGATTAGGACTGAAGAAAGCAATACAGCTACAAATGATATACAACTTTGAACAAAATATGTGTAACTTCTTGCGAATATAAACCTGAAGACTATATAAAATATTACAGATTGTCAAAGCTTAGTATGAAAGTAAGAACCTTTCTGGTCATTTGACCATTAAAGTAATTGCACCCTCATATCTAAACATCTTTTTACAAAGACCTCCTCTAAATTCAACAGTACATTAGACATTCAAAAGGGGAAAACCCAGATGTATATTTTTTTAATATTTTATTTATTATTTTTATTTTATGTGTACGAGTATATTTCCTGAATATATGTGAGTGCACCCATGTCGTGTAGTGCCACGGAGGTCAGAACAGAGCTTCAGATTCCCCTGGAACTGGAATTAAGGACGGTTTGTAGCACCCATGTGGGTGCTGCGAATCGAATCCAGGTCCTCTGCAAGAGCAGTCAGTGCTCTTAACCACTGAGCCATCTCTCCAGGTTCCCTTCCCCCCCTATTGTATAATTCTTTACTTTCCATAGAATGCAAAAAAGAGTGGCATCTCTCAACTCAGGAGTCTAGTGTATAACTTCAATACTAGGTCCTAAAACCACACCACTGAACTGACCTGACAAGCACAGCTGTGCTACTCACATGTGAAATATTCTATTGTCATTATTTCCTATCTCATGCTACTTCTGCACCACTTACCATGTAATCACTGAAAAATTCACTGTTGCCACTGAAATGGATTTTTGCGTGCAGCCTTCTTCCTTAGGTTGTAAACTTCCAATATGAAGTCTTCCACAGAAACATTAAATAAGACTCTAGCATCAAGGGAGTCTGGGAATTTCATTTTATGGGTTCTAGCTGGGGTGCAAGGTACTGTTCAGGTAAGAAATTTACCATTTAGCAACAAGGAATTAAGCGTGTGCTCAGGCACCAGAATACATGGCAGATGGTCACTACAAGCAGGAGTTCAAGCCATTTACCTTTCTTTATAGACTAACATTCAAGAAATAAATGCTCTTAGAAAAAAGTTTCATTGTTAACATGGTATACAGATACAATGAGTTCTTTTGCACCCAAACTTATTTTTGTTTCCTGAATTGAAATGCAAAATATAGCTATAACGATTCTTTAAAATATTTTGATAATATTATTATGTGTGTAATGTATTAATGTGTGTGTGACTGTGGGCATGTATGTGCCATGGTGTGGGTGCAGAGATCAGAGGACAACTCTTCGGAGTGGTGACTTCAGCTATAGTAACTTTGAAATCTTTCATGATAGATATTGTCATGGTGTTGATTAAAGAAATAATTCAGTATTTAGTATGCACTAGTTAATTGCATAATGATGTGCTCCAGTATGTATACAATATCACAAAGTCTATCTTTGAGGAACTTAACCTGTTGTATAACTGCTCCTGCTCAGATTCCGGTAGTATCAAAGTCTGTTGGATTTTGTTAAGATTAATTTCCCATAAATTTGGTAGAGACTATCTGAATTACCCAATAGGACGTTATGTCATGGCACAAGTGTTTTGTATCTGTGTGTGCTATCCAGTTTGGTAACCATTAGTTACATAAATTACTCAACACTGAAACTTAACTGGTACTACTAAGGAACTTGTGTGTGCGTGTGCGTGTGTGTGTGTGTGTGAGAGAGAGAGAGAGAGAGAGAGTGTGTGTGTGTACATATGAATGTGGAAGGCAAAGGACAGCTTAAGGTCTCATTTAGGTATTTGTAACATCCCATTGTATAAATATATCTACCACAGGACTGGAGAGATGGCTCAGCAGTTAAGAGCATTGGCTGCTCTTGCAGAGGACCCAGGTTTGGTTCCCAGCACCCACATGGCAACTAACAACTGTCAGTAAATCCAGGTCCAGAGGATCTGGCACCCTATTCTAACCTCTGTGGCACTACACAACATGGTTGTAGGCACTCATACACATAAAGTAAAAATAATAAAATATTTAAAAAGTAATATACCTACCACATTTGGATTTCTCCCAGTTTGGACTATACACAAACCTGACAGTGAGTGTAGAAAAAGTTGGCTGTATATAAGCAAGATTTCTCTAGAATAATGTATACCTAGGAGTAAAATTTCTAGGTCATAAAAATATGTTTTCGTCTTTTTCAAGTAGCACCAAATTATTTGAATTTTAATTTATTTTTATTTTATGTGTGTAAGTGTTATGCCTGCATGTGTGTAAGTGTACTTGTGTCATGGAGTACCTGCAGAGGACAGAAAAGGGTGTCAGAGCCCCTGGAACTAGTTGTTAGCTGCTGTGTGGGTGCTGGAAATTGAACCTGAGTTCTCTGCAAGAACATCCAGTGCTCTTTACCACTGAGCCATCTCTCCAGCACCCCCTAAATTATTTTTAAAATGATTGGGCCAATTTCTACTGTTGAAGGAGTATCTGAATTAAAATTGCTCTGCATCCACACGGTTAGACTGCCAGTCATCATCATTGCTGATTATATGTGGTAGATATCATCTCAGTTGATATCAGCCAAAATTCTTAACTTTATAGTAAATGTTAGTGATTGGGTTTTATGCTGAAATTGTGTAAAGTATAACAGCTTAACTTTTCCAGTGACAAAGACTGTATATTTTTTCTTGTTTTTATTCTTTCTTTCTAGGAATAGCAAGTGAAGAGGAATCTCTGGTACCTTCCTACTCTCATCTGAACAGTGAAAGCTCTATTCCAGAGGAACTAGGCAGCCCTTCTGTCCTTTATGTTCCATCTGAGTCTATAGTACAGGAACAGCCCGGGAGTCCAGATCATAGCATACTTATGGAGGAAATGGTTTTTTCACAAGAACTAGAGTCTTCTACCTCTCCTTGTAAACATGTAAGTTTATGGCTGTTTATATCTTAAAGCTTAAGCATGTGAGTTTATGGCTATTTTTATCTTAAAGCTTCTTTAGGAAAAAAAAAATCTGTCTAAAAGGTTATTTATTTATTTATTTTTTTGGTCTTTTTGAGACAGGGTCTCCCTGTAGCCCCAGCTGGCCTGGATTCACTATGGAGACCAGGCTGGCCTCGAACTCACAGAGATCCACCTGCCTCTGCCTCCCGAGTGCTGGGATTAAAGGCGTGCACCACCACGCCTGGCATTTTATTAATAGTTTTATTAATATTCTTATTATTGACAACATTGACATTTGTGCAAACTTGTAACAGAGTATAACATTTGAACAGAAATAAATCTTTTGAGAAACTTATGTATTTATAAGTATATGAATTTAGTTTTAGTAGCAGTTAAAGTTATGATATGAAGTCTATTAATATTGAAGGGATAGGAACTTCTAAAATTTGTAGTAGAACTGGTGAGATGGCTCAAGTGAGTAAGGGTGCTTGCTGCCAAGCCTGACTACCTGAGTTTGATCCCCAGAACCTACATGGTGGAAGGAGAAAACCAACTCTCACAAGTTGTCATCTGACCCCTGTATGCACTCCCACATGTATACACATAAACCACACAAAGTAAAATCTGTAATAAAGATTATTTGTGGAGGCTGGGTGTGGTGGTGCACACTTATAATCCCAATATTCACAAGGCAGAAGAAGGTGAATCTCTGTGAATTAGAGGCCAGCCTGGTCTATGTGGTAAGCTCCAGGCCACATAGGCCTTCATAGTGAGATCCTGTCTCAAAAGAACAAAACAGACAAAATATTATTTTTGGACCCTGAATGGAATCTTGACCCATACCAAAGTGCCTTTATTATAATTTAATTAATAACTGAGAACTCAAAATCAGAGTAAAAGTAGTAATTTCATGGTTTTAAATCACTGTACTGAACATTATCAGAATAAAATTTTCTATGTTGGGCCTGGCATGGTGGCGCACGCCTGTAGTCCCAGTACTTGGGAGGCAGAGGCAGGTGGATCTTTGTGAGTTCAAGGCCAACCTGGTCTACATAGTGAGTTCCAGGACAGCTGAGGCCACAGGGAGACCCTGCTTCAAAAAGACCAAAAAAAGAAAGAAAGAAAAAAATTTCTATGTTTCTCTTAATTCCATACTTCAGAAAGAAATTTTGCTGATAAAAGCTCAATAGAGAAAAATCACCCTTTTTTAAAAACTAAATTTTAAAGTATATTAAGAAATTAGCATAGGAATGTGAAATATCAGCAAATACAATGTTAAAGCTTTTTTAAAAAATTATGTATTTGTGTGTGTGTGCACACATGCCTGTGCATACCATGGCATACATATAGAAATCAGAGGACAATTTGTAAGATTTGGTTCTCCCCTTCTGTCATATGGGTTCAGGGGATTGACCTCAGGTTGTCAGGCTTGGCAGCAAGTGCTTTTACCTACTGAGCCTTATCACTAGCCCATGTTAAAACTTCTTTATGCTAAAAAAGATATCCATTGTTAGAACCTTCATTTTTTAAAAAAAAATTTATTTATTATTTTTATTTTATGTGTATGAGTGTATTGCCTGCATGTAGGTAAGTGCACCCATTTCATACAATGCCCGCGGAGGACAGAAGAGGACTTTGGATCCCCTGGAACTGGAGTTATGGACAGTTGTTAGCTGCCATGTGGGTGCTGGATTCGAACCCAGGTCTTCTGCAAGAACAGCCAGTGTTCTTAACCACTGAGCCATCTCTCCAGCCCAGAACCTTCACTTTTAATGTGACTGTGAAGAAATGTATGGGCCCTGTTGAAAACTTGCCAGATTCATGTACATAACATTATTACACCTGAAAAGGTTTGACAGAAGCTTTTTTTGTTTAATGCAGCTGATTTCTGTTAGGGTTCCAAACAGCAGCAGCTTCCCCCCTTCCCCAACAGGGACCTACAGACTTTTGGATCCCGAAAAAGGGAACTGAGCTGATAAGCACCTTGGCCTTTGAAGTCAAGGGAAACAAACTCTGCTGAGAAGCAGCCTGCCTTTCCTCTGACCTCCAAAGATAGGATAAGCAGATTCTACCTGTTAACCAGAGATTTTAGAAGTTGTTTATCACAACAGCTTTTCTCTTAAGAGGGAAAAAGTAAACACTTCCAGACCCTAATCCTACCTGGCAGACTGAATGGAGCCAGGTTTACAAGCCCTGCTTTTCCTGCTTCCCCCTCCCTGATTTTTCCCCCAAACACTCCCCTCTTCTACACCCTAAAGCCCCCATATATAAGTCCTAGCTCACAACCTGTGGGCTGACATTTTTCCCTTCCCCGAGGGAAACGTGTCCCGTGCAAAATAAAGCTGTATCCCGTTGAGAATTCTATCTGTGCCTCGCTGCCTCCTCCATCCGCACGCTCTCTCCAACATTTTTACCTATCAATTTCATGTTTTGTTGAAAATACCACGTTGTTGGGACTACAGAGAGACGCTGTCTCAAAAAGACCAAAAAAAAATTTTTTTAAAAGAACTACATTGTAATGTTCTTGTACATGTATGTACTTGACTTTAAAAGGCTTCTCGTCATCATGTTGGTGTTTGTCAAATTTATTATATGATAATAACAGGCTTGTTCACATAATTTACTTGTAGCATAATTCTTATGTTCTAGGAATTTATGTAATTATAGTGCATTATGACCCAATCTTAACTAATTTCTAAGTTCCTACAAATTTATTAGCTTATATCTAGCATAGTTACTGAGATTCATGATAGCCACAAGACTGAATACTAAAAATTAGATACTTTTCTCTCTGTAGAAAATGTATGAAGGAAATGAAAACCAGTAATTTATTAAAGTAGCTTTGTAATAAAAAGTGATGTTTATTGAGTGCTTGCTTATCAAGTGCCAGATAGAATTTTATGTATATGAATGTATTGCCTGCATGTATGTAAGTGTACCCATGTCATGCAGTGCCTGTGGAGGTCAGAAGAGGGCATCAGATTCCCCAGAACTGGAGTTAATGGATGATTATTAGCTGCCGTGTGGATGCTGGGAATTGAAACTGGGTCTCTGCAAGTGCAGTCAGTTCTCTTAACTGCTGAGCCATCTCTCTAGCCCCAGTAGCTACTTTTTTTAAAAAATTGCACATGTTCTTTTTAAGTTATTTTCTGACTTTAAGAAAAACCATCCAAAAAAAGAAAAAAAATTATCCAGATGTGGTAGTTAATGCTTGTTTTCTAGTACTCAGGAGTCTGAGGCAGGGTGATTGCCACAAGTTTTAGGCCAGCCTGGGCTTTAGAGTGAGCCCTGTCTCAAGAAGAAGAAAAATGATGAAAATGTCATGATGAAACCCTTTATCTTCTATGCTAACCAAAAAATTTAAAGAAGGAAAGGTAAAATCTTATCTTTAATAGAATTGGTAAAGTTTTCTTTTTTATTTTTTGTGAAATTTTTATGTAAAATTGTATTAAATTTTAATATATTCAGAATATAATAAGAAATTACTTTGGTCTAGGAAAGTGACAGAAGTAGATTCTTCTCTAGGGTCTGTGACCTCTCCAACTATATGTACTTGGCTATGTTTATAGTATCATTCATGAATTCCCCTCCTATTGAGCAAGTCTTAAGTCCAATTAGACAGTTCTTAATTATCCCCAAGATAAAAGTGCTGGTGTTGCACTAGTAGATATAATTTGCTGGGCCAGTCATTGTTGTGGTTCTTAGACTTTATATCGGGTTAGGACCATTGAGCAGTATTCTCTCTTGGAAGCTTGCAGAGTATCTTCTGATACCATGAGAACTAGTCTGTGGGGAGGAGGCTTCCAGATCAGTTCCCACTCAATTGCTCCAAGTCCTATGTTTGAATTAGGTCATGTCTTCAACAGTAGGATCTTGTCTTCAAGTTCTAGGGGGCAATCAAGGGCTGTGGCAATAGCCTGTATTATTTTGGGAGTCTCTTGGACCTGACCAACACCTCAAAGCTAGGTTTTCCTTGCCTGGCACTGTGATTTTTATTACATAGCCTTTTGCTATTCCTATGTGCGTGTGCATGCACACACATGCACACACACTTTTATATATATATGTATATATATATATATATATACACACACACATATATATATCCTACTTTTTAGGAGGCTTATGAAATTATACATTTCCCTTTGACTTTTCATTTATTCCTCTTTCCTTTCCCTCTGTATAACCCTCATCCTTCCTCCCCCATTTTCCCCATTTCTCCCTTGATAACCTCTCACCACTTATCAAAGCCTCTTTTTGGAGACTATTACAAAGATCCACAACTGACCAAAATACAGAGGATAAATGACTGTGAAGTGTCCAGCCATAAGTAGTACATCTACAATGCAACCTCTATACCTAAGGCTCAGGGAAAATCTCAGAAGAGGGGGTGGAAAGATTGAAAGAGCCAGAGGGACAAGACACCTGCTGCTAGTTAATGCATTCTAGACATGATAGGGAGGCTGCACCAATGAAATCTCCACAGTGTGGTAGCCTAACCTACAAGATCTGCATAATGACAAAACCAGTTGACATGCCAAGATGGATAAGGGAAATTTCATGGGGTCTGACCTCAGGAAGAAGAGCTACAGGCGATTAATGGTTGCTGAGAGAGAAAGAACCAGTTTTCTCTAAGAAGTAGCTTCTATTTCTTTATAAATATGTGTATTTATGAATGTATAAATATATATATGTGTATGTATTTGTAACAGCAATCAAAGAAAAGGACAAGAAATTATGAGGGAATCAGGGGAGACATGGGAGAACTTGGAGGGGGACTGAGAGAGGTGGAAATAATGCAAAGGTAATATTCATATATGAAACTCAGAAAATAATGGATAAATAAAATTTATTATGTCCAATTTATTATGTAAACTATTAAAGGCTATAAAATACATTTAAATTACATTATAAAGATTATAATTATTTAAAACCCTGTAAATATTGAGTATATCTTTTATTTTAAATATAGTTTCACAATTGTATCACAAAATCAATTTCATTGGTTTTCTGTTTGAACAGTCACCTCCCCAAAACTGCTCATCTGTGTCAAAACAGGAGACCAGCAAAGGAAGTCACAGGACAGGAGGACAGTGTCATCTGCCTGTCAAGTCCCATCAACCCTGCTGTAGTTGGTCAGATGAGTCATTGTCTATGACACAGTCAGGTAAGGCTACGATGAATTTCTTTTCTTTGTTTTTCAGTTACTCTTTTATAAGTTTTGTCTAACCATATGCTAGTACATAATTACCCTTTGTTACATTTATAGGCTTTTTTCTTGCCAAAATTGAGTCATATAGTTCATTGATAATTATGTCTCTAATTCCACAAAGTTTAACAGACTGTTTTATATTTATGTATTAGTGGACATTAATTTCATCAAAATTTTCTCTGAGTTGGATGCTGCCTGTGTGTTTCCATAGCATACAGTTCTTTAGTGTGACATATTTAGATTCAGGCTTGGCCTACCAGCTCTAGATTGAACTCCTGGTGAGCAGGTTCTGTGTTTTCTTAACATTTGTAGCACCAAAGCTTCACAGATACTTGGCATTGCTCATTATCGGTATTGATTGCATTTTTTCAATGAGTTATTAATAATCGTGAGAATAGCTAAAGGAGATTGTGGAATAGGATGGCACCAATCTGTGGAGAAGTAATTACCCACAGATGGCAATGAAGAGCATTCTTTCTCAGACCTCTCCGTTGTATACATCTCTGTTCCATGGAGGTTTTGAAAGAATGATTTAGGGGGGCTAGAGAGATAGCTCAGCAGTTAAGAGCACTGACTGTTCTTGCAGTGGACCTGGGTTCAGTTTCCAGCACCCACATATCACCTAACCATCTCTTAATTGCCTAGCCAATTCCTACCTCCTGTTCTTATCACACCATCCTCTGAAGAGGTTACCCAAATTGCCAATGGGGAATTGAAATGCAGACTGCTCTGGCTTCTTCCATGCTAAACAGGGACACAGGGTGAGGCAATTGGGGTACCCCTTCTGTGGGTCTACCTAAAAGACTCCCAGATTGCATAACTCTTATCTCTAGGGGGAAAAGAAAGTCTTTGAATCGTGACTAGGCAATATGAAGGAGAAGTAAAGGCAAGAGTAATTAGCTTTACGAGTTTTAGACAGGGAACCAGAAAAAAGTCAAAACGGCAAATTTCAAATATTCATATCAGAGTCTATTGGAATTTCTTGACAAGAGCTTCCAAAAGCATCCTTCTGTTGGGTTCCTCCTCATTTTTCTTTTGTGTGCCCAGGCTGGACTTGAGAGTGATGGACTCAGGATTTGTTTTCAGGCCCTTGGATAACTGTTGGAGTAGCTGGAATCAGTGTCAGTTCCCTCGCAATTTGCTTGTGTTTTAAATAATAGTAAATCATGGAATTTTCTCACATCCACACTTAATGGGTCTGCTTTATTCTTTGAGTAATTGTATGATATTTTAAAGGGTAGATAGTGGGGAGGTAGCTCTGTCAGTAAAGTGTTTACCGTGCAAGAATGAGGACTGGAGTTAATCCCTAGAACCCACATTAATAAAATAGGGCATGATAGTATGTGCTTGTAATGTTAGCACTGGAGAGATGGAACCTGCCAGTCTCTGGGACTTACTGACTGGCCATTCTCACCTGCTTAGCAGGGTCTTAAGCCAGTGAGAGACCTGTCTGAGAAGACAAGTTGGTTGTGTCTGAAGAGCAGCACCCGAGATTGACCTCTGGCTTCCACGTGGGCACACACATTTTCACAAATAGATTTTTAAAAAGAATAGTTGTGGGCCAACAGCCCATGGAAAACAGACAATGCAGAGGCCTGAAAGTTCAGTGCCTTGTTACAATGGGAGGAAGATCATCCCACACCTACCACCCCCTCCAAGGCTCAAGGACTTTTGTGGAAGAGGTTGGCAGAAAGAATGTAAGAGCTGGAGGAAGGGGTGGAGTGTTACCTGAAAGTGTCCTTCGATCACTATGCTGGCAAGCTATAGTCACACCTCCTTTCCATGATCATCAAGGAATCAAGAGAGTCAGTTACCCCTCCCACCCAATCAGTTGACCTTAGCTGTATGTGGAGGAGGGGCTAAGGATATATAAGCTGAGAATGCCATGAGACACCTCTCTTGCCATTTTGTGTGGCTGTTGGGAAGTCACAGGGTCTATATTTCAGTGTGCACTTCCAGTGCAGCTATAAGTGGTGGTGGGAGTACTCTTCTGTAAATAAACCCCCACCCTATGCTGTGTTAGCATGCCCAATGAACTAGTTAGGATTTTCAAAAACAAAAACAAATAAACAAACAAAAAGAACAGTGCTAATGGAAACCTTCATTATTCCACCATAGTTGACCCCATGTTGACAAGTCTTTTGGTCTTTGATTTTTTTTTTTTTTTTTTTTTTTTTTTTTTTTTTTTTTTAAACGAGTAGCCCCAGCTGGCCTGGAGCTTGTTGTGTGGACCAGGCTGGCCTGGAACTTACAGAGATCTGCTGGGCTCTGCCTCCCAAGTGCTGAGACATGTGCCACCACATGCCTAGCTTTGGTCTTTGATTTCTTATCCCTGCTTTTCCACCCTTAAACTTCATTGTATATACTTTCTTAATGATGGTTATTTTAGATTTTCTCAAATTTTTCAAATTATAAGTAATGCTATAATGAACATATATACACTATTTTAAATTTGTTCAGTTCTCAGTTTCATAGACATGGAGTTATTGGCTCAAACAATTGGAAATTGCTGTTTTGTGAAGTTATTCGTATTTTTAAATGTTCTGGTGAAAAATTACTTCTGGTAGAGTAACAGTCAATAAACATGAACTTGATATGTACTTGGAAACTGGTTCTTACCTTGGATCTGTTACTGATAAATTTCTTCAAGTTTGATTCCCAATTGAATTCTATTTTTCACCTGAAGCAACAGAATAATATCTTAATCATCTTTGCATGAACTATATTCTAAAGATTAATGATATTTGTGTGATAGTTTTATTGATAAGAACAAATTCAAGTGAGAAAAAGCAAATTTTAGAAAAATAGCTGAGATTCTGAGTTACGAATGCATTCTAGCTAGCTATTCATGATGACATCATTATAGACAGTATTTATAGAAGTTGTAAATTTTATTTTGTTGAAACTAGATAATACCTATAAGTGAGAGAGAGTCTGTTACCAACCAAGTTAATACAGTCAGCATATGAAAAATAATCGGAAACCTAATCAAACTGCTCTGTCCCAACCATTCATATCTTGACAAATTAAATTATCAATTGCCTGCCACTTCCCATCTCTTCTTCTCAAAATAAAAATGCCTATGGAGGAGAATTGTTTTTTTAAAATATATATATATTCATCTAAAGAGTTCCTTGGGTTTAAAAAATTGAGAGATTATCTTAGGTGTTGCTGATGAGGAATTGTATGCAGTAATACTAGATCTAGGCAGATTTCTAATGCATTCTAATTCACCATCATGGGCTTTTATTTAGTCTCTGATTGCCTTCCATTTGTTTACCTTATAGTTTCTTTAGTACTTAAAAATATAAATATTTTCCAAATTCTTTTGTATAAAACTTGAAGTTTTTCACCACTGCTATTAACCCTTCACAACTATAGATAGTAAAATAATTTTATTAGAAAATCATAGTTGACATCAGTTTTAAAAACAGGTTCATTTAAAATCATCTGGAGAGCAAAGTTGTAAGAGTATAGTCTCCTACATTTAATAATGTTGCTGCAAATTACAGAATTTCCTTCTCAACAAATAGTATTCTGTTAGGTATATACACCCCATTTTTTAATCCATTCATCTATGTTGAACACTATAATTTAGTCTCAATTTTCTTTTAGCTTTTATAATATCCCAAACATGTTGTTCCATATTTTACATGCCTTATCTAACCTTCATACCAGTTCTAGAAATTTAGGTCAGATACCTAAAGATTAGATCTAAAGTGTAAAAATGATCTTTGTCATTCCTGCATTTTATATGAATATTGGTCAATAGTGAGCATTTTCCATGTAAAAGACTCTTCTGGTATAAGGCAGCTTAGACTTGCCTAATACATGGTAAGTCAATGTCACAAAGTGACAGGAACTCAGATGTTATTTCTAGTCTATATATTTGCATCACTCCATTTTAAAGAGACTATATTTTGCATTTAAATGCATTCTTTAGTTCTTATGCAACTTAATATGAAGTACCTCATAAAAACTTAGTCTCATGATGGAATGTAGTGCACATCCAATCTTCAGTGTACCCGATCGTATTGCCATTGTAAGGTTAGTTAGTGGAAATGACATCATCTTGTGTAATTCTGAGAGGTGTGAAGAACAGTCACTTTTACACTATGTAATTTCCATGTGTAGTGAAATAAGCAGCACTTTAAATGATGCCTGTTTGTTTTTATAGCTTGTGTGTGACACATAATGAAATGCTTTCTCATGACATTGCCAGGCTGGCAGCTCATGTGCAAGTATAAACTATTGGTAGAAACAAAATTTAAAGCCAGCTTCATTTCAGTAATTTTAAAAGCTTTCAAAGAAAGATTGCAGTAGGATATATTCTCCCTCCTTTTATGTGGTAATAAGACATCAGTTAATGACTCACAATTGAAAAGATTACATTTTAGCTTTATCTTAGTATAACTTTAAAATATTAAACCATGTATTAATATCTAAGGAGAAGAACAATCGAGTATGACTATCTTATCATCAAAAGTAATTTTTTGCAGAAAATTCAATTTCACTAACATAAAAATTAAACTTCATGGCCAGGCATGGTGGCACATGCCTTTAATCCCAGCACTCAGGAGGCAGAGGCAGGTAGATCTCTGTGAGATGAGGGCAACCTGGTCTACAAGCGAGTTCCAAGCCAGCTGGAGCTACAGGAAAGACCCTATCTCAAAACAAAGAAAAAAAATTTAAATTTCAACTGCATGTCTTGCTAAGATAGGGTTCCCCAACATTCATTTACAATTTTGGTTAGTGAGCTGGCAAGATGACGGATAAGAGTACTTGCATGCAAGATTGATAATCTTTGAGTTCAGGCCCTGGAACCCACAGTGGAAGGTGAAAACTAACTACCTCAAGTTGTCCTCTGACCTCCATATGTATATACCATGACATATGTGTGCCTGTACTCATGTACACACACACATCATATACACACACAATAATTACAAATAAAATACATTTAAAACAAACATGGTGTCATTAGAAATTAGAAAATAAATAGGAAGAGCCGATATAAAAGAAAGGTAGGACTGAAGAGATGGCTCAACAGGTAGGAGCACTTGCTACTCTTGCAGAGGAACCATGTATGATTCCCAGCATTCACATGGCGGCTCATAGCCATGTATAACTCCAGTTCTAGGGGACCTGAGGCTCTTTTCTGGCCTCTATGGGCACCATGCACTCATGTAGTGCACATATATATATATGCAGACAAAACACTCATACTCATGATATAAAAATAAATATATCTTTTTAAAAATAGAATGAGGGACTGGAGAGGTGGCTCAGATTAGAGCACTGGCTTTTGCAGAGAACCCAGGTTTGCTTCCCAGCAACCACATGGCAAGTAACAGTTGTCCATAATTCCAGTTCTAGGGGATCCAGTGCCCTTTTTTGACCTCCTCAGGCATTGCATGACATGGGTGTATTTACATACATGCAGGCAATGCACTCATGCATAAAATAAAAAATAGTAAATAAAATATTCTTTAAAAAGAGAAAGCCTTGTGGAAAAGAACACATTACATTATAGCTTTTCATTAGCAGTTACTGAGTTGACTTTATTTTTTTGTTAAAATTAACTAAGGGTTTTGTATTTCTTTCAGAAACTACATCTGACCAAAGTGACATTGAAAGTAGGATCAGAGCTCTGAAGGATGAGCTGCGGAAAAGAAAATCAGTTGTGGAGCAATTGAAGAAGGAACAGAGAAAAAGACAAAAGGAAAGACTAAAAGCCCAAGAAGCCAGTCTGATCAAACAGTTAGAGGTTAGACATAAGGGAAATGGGTTAGACACCAAGGTTAAATAGTAGTGAAGCTCATAGAGGTTTTAATGCTGTTAATAAAGTAATAAATGGTTAATAAAGTTAAAGTAATGGGTTGGGATTTTTCAGTATTAGTATAGTGCCACATTAATCCTAACTCTTTAAAAATAAATCTGAAGCTATCTGAGCTTTTAAATTAAAATGTTGGGTATTGAAATATATTTAAATATTCAGATTTATTCTGATTAAGACTAGGGTTATGAAAAAAGATTGATTCCTATATTCTCTTTAAAAAGAATCGATCGATAGATAGTAGATACTCAACGTTATTATTGCCTTTTTTCCTACTACCTTGTCTCCTATTGTTTTTCCAAGCTGGCCACATAGTTTATCCATTCAACCCTTGGGCTAATTTAGGATGACTCCTAAATGATAGCTCTAAGCTTGATTTTTCTCTAAGCTCAAGCAACCTTCCCAATTCTGTCCCACTGTAGAAATCATATTTTGATGTTGTCATCATTCTGTTTTTTCCTATCCCTTTAGGCACTAGTTCCCATTGAGTCATCTTTTATCAAGTTGTTGGTCTTTTTTCAGTCCTACCACCATCAAGCTAGGGCCCCAGTGCCCTCTTACCTGTATTATCTGTGTAGTTACCACTGCTCTGGCTAATTTTTCTACAAATTAGTCTTTTGCTCTGTCTCTGCCCACCTCCCCATCTTTCTTCTCCATCTCTCCCCTTCTTCCCGCTCTCTCCTCCCTTCAGCCTCTCCATGCTACCCCAGTTTAGTTGTCCTAAATCATAGCACTCATTATAGGATCCATCTGAACCTCCTACTAATTGCAGGAATCCCTCTCATGCCATCACTACAGAGTTATCCAGCTTCTGTAGATCTGGACACTTCTAGTAATGAGAAATCTCAAATTTTCAATACAGCTGAAACTGTTGAACTCTTAAATTCAATAAATGTAAACATTGGCAAGTTATAATGCCTTTTCTCTCTCAAGGGTTTTAAAGTAGGAAAAGTGGTTAAAATACAATGGCCAATCCCAGTGTGGTAGTACATGCCTATATTCCCAGCACATGGGAGATTGAAATGGGGGGGGAGATGGGAGTTCAAGTTCAATCTGGCCCACATAGTAAGTTCCAGGTCATCCTGGGCTATATACTGAACCCTGTCTCAAAAAAATAAACAACAGCAACAAAGATAAGAGTAACTGTACTGGGATTTCAAGTTGGAAAGTAGCAGGCAAACAAATTAAAAAATAAAGGTCATGTTTACAACTTAGTAGCTAAACTAAGGAGTTTGGACTTTAAATGGTCAAATAACTTAGAGCCATTAGAGTAATAGTGGAAATAAAGTAGAATAAATAGTGCTGCTCAGAGGTGCTCCTTCACATAATCCCAGTACTTAGGAGGTTGAACCCAGCCTGTGCTGCATGCATACGAAGGTCCTGACTCAAAAAATTTAAAAAGTTTTTTTAAAAAAAAAATAGTCATTAATAGAAATTCTCTAGGATCTATCTTTAACATTTTGCTAAAAGGCAAAAATGAAAGTTATGCATTTAAGTTTTAATTTTTATTAATAATAGAGAAACTTATCTAGCAGTTTATAAGAGAAGAAACCTATTGGATTTTATTGATCACAGATTTAAGAAATAGACTAAACTAGGGGGCTAGAGAGATAGTTCAGTGCTTAAGAGCACTGACTGCTCTTAGAGAGGACACGGGTTTGATTCCCAGTATTCACATGGTAGCTAACTGTCCAGTTCTAGGGGATCTGATGCCATCTTCTGACCTCTGTGGTCATTGTGTGACACAGGTGCACTTAAACACATAAAGGCAATACACTCGTACACATAAAATAGGGAGGGAGGGAGGGAGGGAGGGAGAGACTAACTCACATCATTAGCTTTCAGATCTGAGTAGCCATAATTTTTATATCTACCTTGCCAGCTAAGCTGTCTAGCTATATTTAACTAATATTTAATACTAGGAATTTATTAAAACATTGAGAATTCAGATGAAGGTAATATAGATGATAGATTTGAAAGCAGGGATTGTAGCCCAGATTTTAGGGATTTGTAGCAATTGATAAGGATCCTTCATTCTGTAAATACTGACAACCTAGTTTAGGCCAAACTTATATACATATCTTGGGAATTAAGTGCTGAACAAAACAGCTGCTACATCAAATAGTGAACATTGTAGAAGGTTTTATACCTCCAAATGGAGGAAAGACAGAATAGATAGAGGGCTTACTTTAGATTCCATGTAAGCTATAATTATAAAGTGGTGATTTGAGTAATTAGTAAAGAATGGGCAATAACCAGAAAACAGTATTTATAATTCTGAATTGTTATACTCCATTTCTCCAAATACTTAGCTCTTAAGAAGCTTACTGTTGTTGAAACTCAGATTAGAATGGCTAAATGTCTAAACAATATCACAAAAATAATAGTATGTCCTTTAGAGAATATACATAATAAGTTTAAGGAAAGTTTTACTGTGTCTGGCAATGATTACTGTTTCATAAGTATTTAGCACCTTTGGATTGACACTATCATTTCTTTCTCCTTTGTGGTACTGAAGATTTAATGGGGGCAGGGAGGGAGATTTTTATGTTCTTTCTTTTTACTGGTTGATCATTTAAATTATGCAATTTAAAACTTTAAGTACCCTTATAACTTTAAATATGCTTTAAAATTCTTCATAATAGCTTCTCTAACTTTTCTCAACTTAGTCTTATGATGAATTCATTAAGAAAACTGAAGGCGAGCTTAGCCAAGATTTGGACACATCACCAACAGCCAAACTTCAAATTAAAACACTGTCCTCTGTTTCTGAAAAACCCAAGATCAAGTCCCTTCCACTACACAGGTAGGAATTTTTGACAGCTTATCTATATTCTGCTTTGTTTGAGAAAGAAAAAAGAAAAATTTTTAGTGGAAATTGTCTTTTATGTAACAGTAAAATTATACAAGGAAAAATACTAGATTTCTTATATAAATAATTTTAAAGTGTTATATATGACAAACACAAAGGTATAATAAGGTACAGATTTTTAAACATTTTAATTGAATTTTTGTGTATTTCATACAGAAAATCATCTTTATACCCTCTTCCCCTTTGGCACACTCCTATAGCACCCCCCATTGGAGTTCATAACTTCTGTCATTTGTGTTAAGGCCTGTCATGTAAAGTTAGTGTCCCCAGATGTCCCTCAGTGCAGGTTCATTCATTGGGATCTAGTCAGTCACTCTAGAGTCTTAAAAGAAGATCATCTCATTCTCGCACAGCTGTAATCAGCTGCTAATAATTCTTTAACTAAGATTGGCCACTGCTGTTCACTTCCACAGTTCTTTGCTGGGTTTTTGTCTGCTTAAGTTTGCATGAGTCTTGTGCATGCTGACACCATTGCTGTAGGTTCATATGAGAAGAATCCCAGGAGCCTGTAGGACTATTTCCATATGGTCATGCACCTCCTCCCTGGTTTTTGTTTTTTTTTTTTTTCTTTTTTGTGACAGGGTCTCCCTATAGCCCCAGCTGTCCTGGAACTCACTAGGTAGACCAGGCTGGCCTTGAACTCAGAGATCCGCCTGCCTCTGCCTCCCTAGTGCTGGGATTAAAGGCATGCACCACCATGCCCGGCCCTTCCTGGGTTTTATGATCTTTCTGCCCCCTTCTTCCGCAATGATCCCTGAGCCCTGGGTGAATGTATTTTAATATAGAAGTCCTGTCCAAGGACCCACACTCTGCAGACTCTTATTCTCTGTATTTTGGCCATTTGTGACCTTTTACAAAGGTACAGATTTCTTAATGTATTTTGAATCATGCAGTCTGGTAGATGCAACAAAAATAGTACTCTCCAGCATTGTGGCAGTAGTATAAATGTAGATCTTTTGAAAACCAAGGCAGTGTTTTAGAAGACCAATTACAAAGGGGAAAAAAAAACTGTAGACTTTAAACTCCATAACCTCACTTCTAAAATTTTAGCTTGATAAAATATCATGTATCAATAATTTCTGTTTGCATGGGTATATTTATTGTAGTATCTTTTGTGGGTATAATAACATCCTTTCAGATTCATAAAACACTTGAAAATAATCTTTATTTCCTAGAAGGAGTGAACATCTTAGTAAATTATTGTTCTCTTCAGGTGATAGAATATTATACATCCAGTAAAAAAAAAATATAGAAGATACTAAGTCATAATAGCAGAATGTATGTTATACTATATTACAAGTTAGGTTATAATATTTAAATTAAATCAGGCCAGTGCAACTGAGAAACAAGGATATTTCAAAGAGAGGGGCATTCATGAATGACAAAAAGGAAAAAAAAACAGATTGGAATATCATAAAAGGTAATAATAGGGTATTGCTGGTGTTAGAAAAGACTGAGAAAAGTAAATAAAAGCCATATTGTGAAAGCCTTGTACTCATTTTTAGTAGTTCATATTTTACTCTGAGAAGATGTGGGGCCTTTAAAGTCATTTTTCAAAGTATTTTGAGGGCTGGAGATATCACTTAGAGGTAGGGTGCTTGCCTAGCATGCATGGGACCCTGAGTTTCATCCTCAGCACTGTAAGAAAACAGAAACAAACAAAAATACTTTGCTACTATAGTAGATTAAGGCAGAAGGATTGTGAGTTCAGGACCAGCCTAGACTGCTACAGTTGTGTAGACATATATATACTTGTTGCCCACAGTGAGCTCTAGACTAGCCTGGCATACATAGTGAGACCCTGTCTCAAGAAAACAAACAGCAGGGAGGCAAGATGGCTCAGCTAGTGACGCACTTGTCACACAAACCTGACCACCTGAGTTTAATCCCTGGAACTCACTTAAAGGTAGAAGGAGAGAACCAAATCCATAGAGTTGTCCTCTGACCTACACACACACACACCCCATATGTACACACAATATTAAATTTTTTAAAGAAAAATGTTTTTTTTGAGGTTTTTTTTTTTTTGGTCTTTTTGAGACAGGGTCTCCCTGTAGCCCAGGTTGGCTGGAACTCACTATGTAAACTAGGCTGGCCTTGAACTTGCAAAGATCCACCTGCCTCTGCCTCCCAAGTGCTGGGACTAAAAGCGTATACTACCATGCCCAGCTATGTTTTTGAGATTTTGTTTGTTATGAAAGTAACACAGGTTCATTATGGTTAACATATCTGAGTTTGAATCCTTACTTTGGTACAAGCTGTCTTTTTAAACTTTGTGCAAGTTATTTAACCTCTTTGTGCTTGAGTTTCTTAAGAGACTATAAATGTCTATTAAGCAATTATTAATAATATGTGATTATTAGGCTTGTTATGATTTAAAAGAATAAGCCCTACAACAGCAAGCATTGTGTATTTACTGATCACTGATTCACTTATTTTTATTATTAGAAGGATTAAAAAAAAACAGTTGCAATCATACCATATCCAACTATCTCCCAATAACAAATGTCAGCAGTTATATATATTTGCAAGAATTTTTTCTTAGATTTTGTGATTTTTGTTTCCTATGTACTTTCAGTTATCTTTTATTTTCCAATTATCTTTTAAACTATAAGTTTTATTCTAATCTCTGAGTAATATACTATTTGACTGGGTATGTAACTCAGTTGGTAGAGTGCTAACCTAACATACATGAAGCCCTGGGTTTAATCCCCAACACCATATAAACTGTGCATGGTAACCCAGCACCACTTTTTGCCCTCTGCTGGCAGGACAAAAGCAACTGGAATGTTTTAAATGTAGACAAATTTATAGCTAGAAAGGCTGAAGATAAGAAATTTCATGCCTGATGACCCCTACATTTCTCATTAAAAGATAAGTTCATCTACTGAAGATGATGAGATCTTAATATATAAGCTTGGCTTAATAAAAGTGGCAACTTTTTGACATACTTCCTATAGAGAAGGGGAAAGAAATACTTATCTAAGAATGTCTACTTTTCATTGTCAGTATATTTAATCTGGCTCATTACTTTTACTACTTCAGATCTGAAACAGCAAAATCTTGGAAATCCCTAACAGAGTCAGAGCGCTCCAGAGGATCCTTGGCATCTATTGCTGAGCATGTTGGTATGTAGCTAAAAGAATACAATCGTGTAGACATAGTCTAAGGCCTACAGAATTCTACCTGTATAACTTTTTGTTTGAAAAGTAAATTTCTGGGGCTAGAGAGTTGACTCAGCCATGAAGAGGACATACTGTTCTTTCAGAGCACCCAAGATCAGTTCTCATGTTGGATGTCTCATAACCACCTATATAACTCCAGCTCCAGGGGAGCTAACACCCACTTTTGGCCTCTATGGGCACCCATATACACATGGCATACACACACACACAGAGGCACTGTATTAGTCAGGGTTCTCCACATAAACAGAACCAGTAAAATGAATATGTATGTATAGAGATTTGTCAGCTTAGCTCACAGCATAGAGTCCGAGTAGTCCAACAATGGCTGCACCACACTGGAGAGGCTGAGAATCCATAGTTGCTCAGTCCACGAGGCTGGATGTCTCAGTAGTCCCAATCTGGCACTGAAGGTCTGACAAATTCCAAAAGATCAGCTAGTCTTCAGTCTACAACAGCAAGATGAACTCACCAGTGGGAGAGAAGGCAAGCAGCAAGAAAGCTGGCATTCTCCTCTGCCTTGGTCTTTTATACCGGCTGCCATCAGAAGGTAACGCCCACATTTAGGGTGTGTCTTCTAGCTTCACATGATCCAATCAAGAAGATCTCTTTCATTTCAGTTAATCCCAGATCCAGTCAAATTGACACCCAGGATTAGCCATCACAAGTCCACCCCTTGTCAACTTGACACCCAATAGCATCTCTCTGTGTCATGCTTAATTTTCAAATGAAAACAATGTTGAGGTCATAATTTCACCTAACATGATATAACTATCCCATCATACAATGACCAATGCATTATATATCTTAGAGTAGGTGATAAGGTCTTCAAGGAATGCTTAGTCCTTTAGTGTCTCATAACCCAATATAATCATATAGGTTCACAACGCTTAACCACTTAACACTTACCTCAATTACACATTCAAATAAGAATAACTCAGGTATCTGCTTAACATATGTATATACATGCACAAGCCTATTCTTAACCAAATAGGACAAATATACTCATGTCAGTTACAATCCATGGTTCTGCAACTGGTCATGTGGCCTAAATTGGTATTTGTAACTACCTTCCTCTACTACCCATTCTGTATTTCCTCCACCATCAGCAAGCACCTCTGTAGGTCTTGGCTCTTTCTCTGGAGGAGTGACCCATACTTTCATCCCTGAAGGGTCTGGGCCATTTGTTGTCCTGTCTGGATTGGGTTGTTGCAGTTTCCCATTGACCTTAATCACAGGACACGGTAACACCAAAAGTCGTCCTAAGGAATCTCCTGCCTTCCAGATATAATCTTCATTACCTCCATTGTGGGGAACCAGTGCAATTTCCCCCTGGTAATCTGGGTCACTCACCCCTCCTAATACTGTTATTCCTTTCTTAGCCTGCTGATTTAAAGGCATCAGAAGCCCAAAGTGTCCAGGGGGAAATCTTAGCTTCCAGTTCAATGGAATGTTTATTGTCTCTCCTGGCAGAAGCACTCCCTCTTCTGGAACCAAAACATCCAAGCCAGTAAAGTGCAAAGTTGAGGGTATAGGAAGCGAAAATTTTAGTAGAGGGTCACCAGGGGTGATAGTGAGTGGAATCATTCCCACTTCCACCCCTTGATTCCTGGACCCATGAATCCTGGCTTTAGGAGTGCAAAGTTGAGGGTACAGGAAGCAAAAGTTTTCATAGTTGATTCCTGGACCCGTGAATCCTGGCCATAGGAGAAACTGTACCATATATTGAATGCTGATTCAAAGCATACACTGCCTTCTGGAGGACCCTGCCCCAGCC